TAAACGACACGGGAAGAGCTTGCCTGGCTTTTCTCCTGAGGAGCTCCTGGTGGAATCGAAGGCGGAGCTTGGACTCAGTAGCTCCCTGGATCCCTCCGTCCGCTCCCTTCACTCACTGCTCGTCAAGTTGACGACTCCTCGTGACCCTGTGAACAGCTGTGATCCTGGCGTGTTCTGCGTCTTCCTCTCCGTCTCTGATACTACGTGTGGGGCTGTGTCCGTCCGCCATGTGGAGGAGCTCCCCCTCGCTCGCTGACCCTCCACCTTTCTCCGCCGGATGTCTTTTTCCAGGGACTGGCACCTCAGGACAGACAGCACAAAGTACGTGACACAGAGTCTCAACGTCTGCCTCTCAGGAGCACGCTGGCTTCTTTCAAGATTGCCTGCATCCCACATATTTTAGACATGCTGTCAGAAAGGCCCAGTCCTTGGGAAAGGGACTTATGCTGCGAAGGATGGAGGGTCCGAGAAAGAGGAAACCCCTCCCCTCTACAAGGTGACTTGGCCTGTGGCAGCGGGATTAAACAGAGCAGAGGTCACGAGGACGGTGCAGGAAAGGGCATGGTGCTGCAGGCTGCTTCATAGGGCTGGATGCTATGCATTGAAGTCAACTTGATGACAATTTCAAGGCAAACAAGGTGGGAAAATGAAAACCTGGTAATAAATACCTGGTACTGATGAGAGTAAAATTTTTAGGGGGAAAGTTTGTTATTTCCTTTAAAACATGCCCAGTAGTTTGACTCCTAAGTGACTTACTCAAGAGAAATTAAAACATGTCTATAAGAAAACCTCTAAAAAAAAACCCCCAAACTTCTACGAAAATATTTATAGCATTCTTACTTAAATAACTGAAACTTGGAAGTAGCCTACATGTCTACCAGCAGATGAGTGAATGAACAGATTGAGGTCATGTATACAGTCATTCTCTAGACAAAATCTTGAATGATGCAAGAAGCATAAAAAGAAGATGAAAGAATTTCCCAGACATGTCGCTATCCCAAAAGAAACAGCCATCACTTAGCTCACTTAGCCATTTCACTTCAGGACGGTAGCAGATGACCAAGGAAAAGTGATACTGAGGACATCAGTCTTACATTTGAAAGACCTGTCCGCAGCGAAGGCCCAGGAATTGTGACTTTGTGCTGTGCTTGCTGGTGGCCTCCGTTTGGGCAGCAGGCTGAGTAAGGCACGGGGACCGTGAGCACCGTCTCTCTCACTTGTGCGGCCATCCTGACGTCGGCACACCAGTTTCCATTGAAACCATGAAGTTGGCCTTTCTATGTGCTGTTTGGAAATATTGAATAAAGAAATCTAAGATTTAGAACAAAAATTAATAGACAGCCAAATCAGTTTACCTAATGTAATCTTCTTAATGAAATTTGGTTTTTTATATTGGTTCTGGAGCTGCTTGGAATCGTAACATGTTCCTGTTTTATATAAAGAAGGGCTGGGAGTGTTATGACGCTGTCATATTGTCCAGGCAGGACTAGTTAACACTGTTCTGCAAAGGATCATAAAAATCCGTGTTTTAGGCTTTGTCCTCACCACTGCCTCACAATGTAGAGATTTCATCTCAAAGTCGAGAAAACAAAACCCTCACCACTGGGCCAACGGGCAGCATCATGATAGATGGAGAAAAGACTCAAGTTGTCAGTGATTTCATCTTGCTCGGATTCACAGTCCTTTGGTCCTAGCAACCAAGAAATCTGAAGACGTGATGCACTGGGGGAATTTGACGAGGAACTCTCCAAAGAGCTACGCAGCAGTGATGCTAGGTCGACGACTCGAGTGCACCTGATCAAGCCTTGGTCTTCTCATCTTGCTGTCCATCTGCAGGTTGGACAGTGGATAAAGATGACAGGATGGGGAATGATGCCTGTGTGCGGTGGTGTTGGAGAAGAGTACTCACTGTCTCATGGACTGCCAAGAGAACAACAAAGAAGTATGAGTGGGCAAAAGTGCAGCCGGGGTGCTCCTTAGCGCTGAGGATGGCGAAGCGTCTCGCATACTGTGGGCATGTTGTCAGGGGGACCAGTCCTTGGGAAAGGACATCGTGCTTGGAAAGGTGCACGGTCAGTGGAGGAGGAGGAGGAGGAGGACACTCAGGAAGGTAGACTGACAGAGTGACTGAACAGTGGGCTCACTCGAGTACACGATGGGGAGGACGGCACAGGGCAGGACAGAGTGCAGACCTCTTGTTCACAGGGTCACTGAGTCGTAGGAGACTCGGAGACAACTAACAAGAACGTCTCACTGGATGGATGTGGCCGTATCTGTGAAGTCTTCATTTGCAGCTGTGCAGAGCACTCTGGTGGCTAGCCGGAGGGAGATGGAGAGTCGTGGCCACTAGCCCACCAGCAGCCGCTTTCTGGTGGTTCACATCCAGAGTGCAGAAGGCCTGAGCTTGGCCTACAGGCCGTAGCTTGCAGATTGTCAGAGCCGTGGTCTGGAGCCAGGACTTCCACCTGGGTGCGACTAAGAATGGGGGACGGGGGTTCTGCTGGCAGTGGGCACACCCTGAGAAGCATGACCTGGGAATCTGCATCCACTCTGCACTCACATAGGCAGTGTCTGCAAAAGCTAGACCTAAGTATGGTGCAACCACTGTGGAAGGTGGTCTGGTACTTTTCTCAGAAACTTGGAAATAGAAATACCGTTTGACCCAGCAGTTACACTCCTGGGAATAAACCCTAAAGAAACCAGAGCCACAACTCAGACGTGTGCCCACCCATGTTTATGTCTGCATTAGTCACAAGAGCAAAGAGATGGAAGCAATCCAAGTGCTCATTAACAAGCCAATAGGTAGAAAAAATATGGTCTATTTACACAGTGGAATATTACACAGCCTTGAAAACATTACACAGTATAGGTGGACCTGGAAGACGTTGTTGTTGTTATGTGCCGCCGACTCACTTGGAACCCATAGCAGCCCTGTGTACAATAGCCCTAAACTCTCCTCTGTCCTGTGCCAATCGCACTGTCTCCGATACGCCCACCACCATTACCCCAGTCACTGAATCAATCCACCTCGTACAGGGTCTTCTCCTCCTGTGCTGTCCCTCCACCCTCCCAAGCATGATGTCCCTCTCGAAGGACCTGTCCCTCCTTACAACATGCCCAAAGTATGTTAGATGGAGCCTCAGAATCCTTGACTCCAAGGAGCTGGCCGGTGTAACCCTCTCCAGGATGAATCTGGGCTGAGTGAAATATCTCAGTCACAAAAGGACAAATACTGCACAACACTGCTGTTATGAATAGGACTGACATGAGAGGTTATGGGGAGAGTGGGAAGAGTGGCTAGATAATTAGCACCACATTGGAACAGATGAGGAAGAGCTGTGTCCAAAAGGAACAGGTGATTAGGCACTGTAGGTATGACAACAATCTGAAACAAGAGGTGATTGCACAGTGGGCTGGAGGAGGGAGAGAGAAGGAAATGTACAACAAGGAATGAATAAAAAAAACAAATACTTCACCAGCTGAGTTCCATGGGGAAAAAATGGGCGGTTTTCTCCTGTGCAGTTTATAGCCTCTGGGAGGGAACCTGTTGGAGGGTCAGCTGGGAATTGGTTCTGACTTGATGGTACGTAATGATAACAATGTTAATTATAAGATGCACCATCACCATAGGTACAACTGTAAAAGCAAATAAGTCAACTAAACCAATAATACCTTTTTTTAAAAAAAGTTGGATGTCAGTGTACCTGTGGCCCAGCACTGCCCACACCTGTTCACCGCCACCCAAGAGGAGTGAAGGCATGTCCACACCGACTTGGATGTTTGTAGCACGTTAGTCACACAACTCCGTACTGCAAACCTAAATGTCCTTCAGCGACTGGACACATGAGCAGAATGGCACAGCGGGGGCGATTCTAGCTGATGGCAGTCTTTTATGACGAAGGGTTTACTAGGCTATAATGGGGTGTTTTTTTGTTTGTTTGTTTGTTTTAATGGTGATTTGGGTGAAGATTTGCAAAGCAAATTGAATTTTATTCTACCACTCATTGATGTTTTGTTCTCTGACACTGATCTCAGCACCCATGATAGGACTGTCCTTTCTCCAGTTCTTGTCATTCTGATTTCTTGAGCCCTTCCCTTTCTCTGTATCTTCCCTTTGTTGAGCGGTGTCATGCAGGTCACTTGCTTTGCTGCCTCTCCCTTCACCCATCGTTAGTTGCCATCAAGTCAGCTTTGACCCCTAGCGACCCTATTCATGACCAATGTGAACCATGCCCTATCCTGCACCGACTGCACCCTCTCTGAAAGGCTGGAGCCATTGTTACAGTCACTCTGTCGTCTGTCTTGTTGAGGGTCTGCCTCTCTTTCTTTGACCCTCCGTCGTTCTCAGCATGATGTCCCCTGTCTTAATATGCGCCCATTATGGGGGTTGGGGGCTGGATCCCAGAGCAGATTAACTTTCATTTATTTTGTGACAGCTTTTCCTGGGGGTGAAAGTGCTCCAAAGCTGGTTTATGGTGGTGGCTGCACAACTTAATAAGATAACTAAAAATCATTCCAGTGGACACTAAAATGAGTACATTCTCTGACATGTCTTAGACCCAATGAAACATTTTAAACACTTACATTCAGGAAAAAGGCAGCAGCAGCCACTGGTTTAGTGCAGGAACGAGTGCACTGGGAGGGCATCAGGGCTGCAGGCTGCCTTGCTGGGTGCCCCCCAGAGTGGCCTGCCCTCTGCGGTGGGGCTCTCCTTGCCCCCTGCACCCCTCAGCCCGCTGCATGTTATATGGGGTGGGGCTCTCTTCCCCTGCACCCCAGCACCCCTGCACATTGTAGTGGAGCTCTTGCCTGCACCCTTCAGTCCTGCACTTTGCAGTGGGGCTCTGTTTAGCCCCCACACCTCTTAGCTCCTGCATGGTTGTGGTGGGCTCCTCTTGCCTGCACCCCTCAGCCTGAAGCTGGAAGTGGGAATGGCGTTTGCCTTTCAGTCTCCCCATTACCTGGAGTACCAAGTTGTCTGTGGTGATTTTTTTTTACAGGAAAAACATGCAGAGGAACAAACAAGTGGCCATGGGCAGGAAAAAATTTAACATGGATCCTAAGAAGGTGAGGGGGTGAAGGGCAGGGGCAGTAGCCTGTGGTCTTTAAGATGGCATTGATTGTTCACCATGGCAAGAGTACCTGAACAGCCCGCATGTCCAACCAAATCAAACGGATTGAGAAGTTGTGAATACATGATGGAATACTATGCAGCACGTAGGAGCAGTAACTTAGTAAATTATTACCTAACTTGGGAGGGACTGGAGAGCATTATGCTGAGAGAAGTAACTCAGTCCCACAAGGACAAATACTGTATGAATGAGTGGAAGGATCCAAGAGGAGTGGGAGAGGGTGGAAGCAGAGGGATGAGGTTGTCCCAGGGAGAGGGGGATTAAACATGGGGTTGTACAATTTGTTGAGGGGTAAGGGAAATAGGAAGACTCTTGTCTGGAAAACAATGTATTCTCATTTTGTAAAGAAACTAGTATATATATTTTAAAAAAGATGGCTTTTCTCCAGGGCTCAGACAGGAGCCAGCTGGAGGTCACTGACGTCTTTGATGTCTCGCTCCAGGGAATCCAGTTCTTGATAGAGAATGATCTGCTCAAGAACACCTGTGAAGATATTGCCCAGTTCCTGTACAAAGGCGAAGGGCTCAACAAAACAGCCATCGGTGACTACCTGGGAGAGAGGTGAGGCTCCCACACCGCAGGCACCGGGATCCGGAGTGAGGCAGAGGCAGGCGCCAGTGCTTCAGGTTCTGTGGTCCTGACGCTTCAGCGGCCACACTGGCCTCAAGGGATAGCTCTGGGGGAATACCTAGGAAGAGAACCCTGGGGGTGGGGGATCAGCTCCGAGGCCTTGAGGGAGAGTTGGGGGAGGGGATCAGCTCTGTGGCATTGAGGGAGAGCTATGCCAGTGGCTATGTCTAAGAGGCAGTGTGGTGAGCCTTCCTGAGGCCTCCTGCCCAGATGTCAGTTGGCGATTTGGGTGCACAGAGTGGGGCACGTCTCAGGTTCTGGACCACAGCCTCTAAAGCCGTTTCCCCTGTGTGATGGTTTCTCTTGCAGAGATGACTTTAATATCCAGGTTCTGCACGCGTTTGTGGAGTTGCACGAGTTCACAGACCTGAACCTCGTCCAGGCGCTACGGTGAGTGTCTGCCAAGTCAACACTGTGAAAGGTGAATGTTTGTGCCATGTCCCCTGCCGTCAGATGTGGCCTTTGAGATCTTTAAAGAACGTGTTGTTAAAAGGGACTAAATTCTGATGGACCCTGCAATAAAACTCTGCAGGCGTTGTATTGGAAGTGTCCAGCAGGTCCCTTTGCACTGTCCGGGAGGAGAGGTTATAGAGCGCAGAGCACTTGCAAGGGGACAGGTGTCTTCTGCCGCTGTAATGTGGTCCTCTGCCCACCAGGCAGTTCCTCTGGAGCTTCCGGTTACCAGGAGAGGCACAGAAGATTGACCGGATGATGGAGGCCTTTGCCCAGAGATACTGCCAGTGCAATAGTGGGGTGTTCCAGTCCACAGGTAACGGGGAGCCCTCCTGCTCAGCTGCACTTGATAAAGTCTCTAAAGCAAAAGCTTAAAGTCATGCTGAAGGACGTTTATTGAAATGACTCTTAACAGTAGCAGAAGGTTGGAACTTATGCAAAATGTGCAAAGAAAGAAACAGGAGTCTAAATTGTGGTATCTCTGAATTAAGAAATAGGCAACTCATTTTGAGAAGCCTGTTTATTTAACATCTTTGATGTGGAAAACAGTAAAAGGATGAGTTAACAGATGGGAGTCTGATGCCATCGGTTGTGATCCCTGCCTCACGGGGGTCCGTCCAGTGGTGCATCCCACGCCGGCCCCTCCTGGCAGCCCCGTCCTCCAGTCCCCGCGTGCACGCTCTCAGTGCCGTCAGGACCCTTCGTCCTCGGGGCCTCGGAGGCCTTCATAGCTCTCCTTGTGGAATTAGATTTTGGATTAAACCTAGCCTGGTGGAGTTGTTATTCTGAGTTATCCGTTGGACGTGACCACTATGCCTTTTGCATATAACTTCCCCATATTGGTGTGCACACGTGGAGAAGGTAAAGACATGAGAGAAGCATGAACCTCCCTTGGTGCTCCGCAGTTCTTCCCGTTACCGTAGTTGTGCAGGCTGAGGGGTTTGGTGGGCCCTTCCAGAGAGTAAGGGCTGTGTGTCCATCAACGCGTGTGCGCCTGGGTCCCTTTCCTAGAGAAGGGCCTCCCGCAGGTCCTGCTTTCTTTAGCCAAGGACAGGGGCCTTTTCCTGCCGTTCCAGCAGGTGTCCTCTTTTCCTGGGTGGGCTGTATCGGACTGCCCGCCTTGCTCACAGCATCTCCCCTTTGCTCTCCTTGTCTTCAGACACTTGCTACGTCCTCTCCTTTGCCATCATCATGCTGAACACCAGCCTGCATAACCCCAACGTCAAAGACAAGCCCACTGTGGAGCGGTTCATCGCCATGAACCGAGGCATCAACGATGGCGGGGACCTGCCTGAGGAGCTGCTGCGGGTGAGCCTGGGTGCCTCCACCCTGGGACCCGAGGCCCCTAGGACAGGGCCCACAGGAGGAGAGGAAGGCATGGGTTTACGGCAGCCCGCCCGTCTCCATCTCCTCACTCGCTGAGTGTCCATCAGACGTCTGAGAACAGCTAGGGAGTCCAGTCCACGAGAGCAAAGTGTGCGTAAGCCAGAGGCTGAGAGGCTGGTCAGTGGCCCGGCAGCTTTCCTCCCTCCATTCTTGTGGACATGCTCGGGTCCTTAGACTGAGCCGCCTGGAGCAGGGACTGTCACTTCGGGGGTCGGTGCCCAGCCAAGCTGCGGGACACTGTCACTGTCGGTACATGTGAAAGCTTGAGGAATGACTGAAGAGAAAGGGGAGGAAGGAAGGTGTTTCTGGAATCAGAAACATATCCTGTTGTCTTTCATCCCAGAATCTATACGAGAGCATCAAAAACGAGCCCTTTAAGATCCCCGAAGATGATGGCAACGACCTCACACACACCTTCTTCAACCCAGACAGGGAAGGCTGGTTGCTCAAACTCGGTGAGTGTGCGCTGAGGGCGGCTCCCTGAGGGCAGGGCAGGGCAGGGCAGAGGGCGAAGGCCGGCGGGCAGGGCAGGGCAGGGGGCGAAGGCCGGCGGGCAGGGCAGGGCAGAGGGCGAAGGGCAGGGCAGAGGGCGAAGGCCGGCGGGCAGGGCCATGGGGTGGCTGGGCTCTTAGTCAGAGACCAGTGTGAATTCTGTCAGGGTGCACATCCCCTCCCGAGCTGAGGTGGAATGCAGAGCCAGGACCCTGGGTGACAGGCTGGGGCCCCGGGGACAGCTGTCCTCAGCCGTCCGTGTGTCTGTGTCCACATTTCCACCCAGAGTCTAGAGCCTAGGGTCATTTAGTGCCGTGGGACCTGACCCCCTCCCGTTCCCGGTCTCTGGGCCATGGGTGACAGCTGCATCCATCTTTCTACCTCCCATCACACAGACCGCACCTGTGCTAGCCCTCTCCCCACCAGTGCATCCTCACCGCATCTGCTCCCCTGCCGCCATGCATGGCACACCTCTGCCCTGGCTGCACACCCCACAGCACCCCCCCCCCGCCCGGGCAGCAGGCCCTGCTCTCCGGCCCGTCAGGCCAGGAACGCTGCTTCCCCTCCCTCCACTGAGCCCCCTGGCCCTGCCTCTCCTGAAGGTGAGGGAGTGACCGAGAGGGGAAATGGGCAGAGCTGCCCGTCTCCACTTGATTACCATGCTGCTGTTTGAGAACACAGAGTGAGCCTTGACTCTGATGGCAGTTTCTGACCACTTAGAGTCTTTTTTTTTTTCTTTTGCTTTGGGCTTTCTGTTTGAGGGGTCCCCATGTATCAGGGTGTTAAGAGCCCTCCTCTCCCATCTCAGTCACATCCCGCGGAGGAGAACCTCCTCCCTGGTGACCTTCACTGGCTCATCTGAAGGACTAACATGGACTCTGTGAGTTCCGCCAGTTTTAGATGGTGACACCGCAGAGCTAAACCCACTGTCACTGAGTCAGCGTCACTCCATCAAGTTTCCCACCCCATACGCCTCTGGGGCAGCAGCTGGTGGGTCCGCCCTGTAATCCACTGGACCACCAGAGTGCTTCTAGATGATGATGGCGTTTATGTTTTAGAAAAAGGCTGGCCCACGTCCTGTATGTCCTCATAGTGACTTAATTTCTGAATGCCCCTTGGAGCTCCGTCTCCCTGCTCAGAGCTTGCCTGGTGCTCTTCTGTGAGCGGGAGAACTGTTGAAGTTCCAACACTGAATTAGCACCCAGAGGTGGCCAGCCTGCTCTGTCACCTTACTGCCCGCCAAGAGCAGGAGGAAGCAGTCTGCCAGAAGCATGGAAGGGACTTGCTCGCTTGAGTTGACTCCCCCCTCAGTGAGATTTGTGTGGGCTTCAAGTGTTGGCTTTGCAGCCCCAGGGCTAAAATGAGATCCAACAGAGACTCACGGTCCCTGCACAGGACCCGCTCCCATTCCCGAGACCATAGCTCTGCCGGAGACGGAGACTCAGCGGGGACTGGCTTCAGGGCCATGCACGCCGTCTCTAAACTCCACTGACTCCTGCTAATGCTTCCGGTGTCAGCTCCTTACAGCTCCCCCAGTCAGCTCGCAGTACCTACAGTGTCAGCTCCTTACAACACACCCACAGTCAGCTCCCTGTATAGTGTCAGCTCCACAACACAGTCAGCTCCCTGTACACAGTGCCAGCTCCTTGCAGCACACCCACAGTCACCCCCTTTGTTTTCATGTGCTACAGAGGTTTCCACTCTGCAGTTGTGTGTTTGTGTGTGTATACATATATCTGTAAGACTGTATCCTCATGTATACACGTGTGTACATGTCCTTTGTGGGTGATGGTTATCTGAAGGACACTGAATTCTCCCGTAAGTGAAGTTGGCTCCGTTTGCCCCATCCCGCGTAGATGAAGAAACAGGAGCTTTGGCAGAGACATGGATGCCTTGGGGGCACAGTTTTCAGTACTGCCTCACACGTCACCTTGCCCAAGAAATGTGGCGTGTGTGACCCCCTCCTCCCCGGCCACACCCCGCTGTGAGGCTGGCCCCTTGTATTTTCACAGCAACTTCATCAAGCAGGCAGGAGTGTGACTGATACATGCACTGTGACATTACGGAGCCTGGTTTAATTCCTTTGTTTTCATTTTCTTTTCTCCCTCATTTGTATGTTGCCATGATTTGGGCTCTCCTTTTCCTTGCCCCCAACTCCAGGAGGTATGTAATCCCCCACCCTGCTCGCTCGCTCTACCCAGGCACTGTAATCGCTGCAGCGTTTTCTGATTTTGTTCTTTTTGGTTATTTTGTTTTTTAATCGCTGGTGGTAGTGTTCCTGCTGCTTCTAACTGATCACACAGTCCCTAGGGAACTGACCAGGGTCAGGGTGTGGCACCACAGGTACAGGTCACCTTTCAGGAGCAGTGTCCAGCGCATTGGCTAGCTAGGGCACAGGGTGTGGGATGGCTTCACCCAAGGAGGGACGCAGTGTGAGACCGTCCAGGGAGATGGGCTTGTCAGAGCAGAGAGCGTGTTCTTGGAGTTACTGGCCAGGTACACAGTGTCTTTGTCGAGAGACATGGACACCAGCAGATCGGCTGAAGTGGAGTGCTTTCCAGAGGGGGGGAGGGGACTTCAAGGGCACGTGCTCCCTACACCCCACTGTCAGCCCGCTGGGGAAATGACAGGCCCCTTGGGCCGTTTACCTTGTGTGGAGAGAATGGCACCAGGGGCGTTGGACCAGCTCAGCCGCGGTCCCCGGGTTCCATTCCCTGAGCCTCAGCGGGCAGGGAGCAGACGGCCTCGGCTCACTTGTTCTCTTCCCTCCTCTTCAAGGTCCTGGTCAGCAGACTCCGTTGTCCCGAGTTAAGCCTTTGGTGGCTGTGGGCCAGTCACCGCGGGTCTGCGCTTGGGCCGGCGCGAGCCCAGCGTTTTCCGAGGTGTCCCTGGCTGTAGGGAGCCTGGACCCTGGCCTTTCTCTCTGAGGATAAAGGGGGCTGAGCAGCGTGGGGTAGGGGGAGGTCCTGTGAGTTCCTCAGGGACTGTCCTCGGTCCGCTGCTCTGTCTGCTTGCTCATGTCTGCTTTCTTGCTCCGTGGAATGTTCCAGGGACCACAGTGAGGCTCAGGGCAGGGGACTCCGCACACAGCAGCGTCCCAGGGACAGGAGGTCCCTCTGCCTTGTTCTTTCTCTTGGGTCCCCTCCTATCTTGCTACTGTGGCCTCCCACCCCTCCCTACATCTCTCACATCCCCAGGGTGTCCCCAGGGTGTCCCCAGGGGTGGGGCTGAGGCCTGTGACTAGGTGCCTGGGGCCCGCTTGGGCTGATGGCCTCCTCGTGTGCTGAGCCCTAGAAGAGGGGCAGCTCCACTCAGTGGCCAGTTGGCTCCAGTTCTGGATATGCCCTTGTTATCTTTCTCCTCATATATTTTCACTCTGCCCGGCCCCCCCATGCGTGTCTTTTTATCCATCTATCGTTCTCAGTTCTGGGCCCCATGACTTTGAAGGCCCAGAGGGCGGTCAGAAGCCTCCAGGAGGGATGGAGTCTTCCTCTGGTGACGTCCACACGGGGTAGGCGTGTGTGGGGAAGGCCCCTGCCTTCTTATGGCAGGTTCTCTGTCCTCCCCGGGTCTCTGCAGGCCGGAACCTGGGTCGTTTCTGGCCAGTGACTGCCTCCCTGCGCTGGCCCACGACCCTCTCCCTAGGGTGCAGTCACCCAAGCAGAGCTGTCCAGCAGGCCTCACGCTCATTTGCTAGGACATGTTCCGGCGCTGTGTGCGCGACACCACAGCTTCTACCCCTCCATACCTCTGATGCCGCGTGTGGGCAGTCCTGTAGTTGGAAAGGTTAGAGAAGCGATGGGCTCTGTAGTCAAGGCTGACCGGAAGTATCCATGGCGTCCCAGCCAGTCAGTCTGCGTGCTCATGGGGTGTTGGTGCGCTGATGAGAGCAGGGTGTCTGGCCAGCAGGCCCTCACAAGGCTAGTGCTCAGGAGAGTGTCCTCGGCCCGGTGTATGTGGAGACAGGTATCACAGCATGACCCTGAGGAGGTAGAAGTCAGGGCTCAGGGCAGCCGTCACGAGATGCTCTGCCCCAGCCCCTCGCCTGGCTGTCTCTGTGGTGAGCTTCCCTGAGGCCAGCCTCCCTTCCAGAGCTGCTATTCCCTGGAGAGGAGTGGAGCTCTGGGACTCTGCCCAGAAGTCTGAGAGCCCGTGCAGGAAATCCCGCTGACAGGAAGGGGTCAGAGAGGCTTCAGCCACAGCGGTGGGGGTCCCACGTCCCAGGAGTGCTGTGGACCAGCCTGTGAAGGGCTGACAGCTGACCTCCTGTCTCCTCCTTCCCTCCACTTTCTGATTACACACTACTCCTTAAAGGCGGCTGATCATTGGTTGCAGGTGGCCCTGGACTGAGAGGCTGGCCTGGCCTCCTTCTCTAGTTGTTCCCACTACACAGGAGGGAGGCCTTTTGCTGCTGCTTCTCCAGCCCACGTCCATGTCACGTTGTGTGCCATTGTCCTCCCAGCTTCCCCGTCCTGCGCTCCGCTGTCTGGTCCATCTCCACGTGTCACTACACGGCTGCTCTGCTTGTGCCCAGGACTCTCACTCATAAAGATGCTTCTGTCTTGGCTCTGTGTCTCGTCCCTGATGTCCGTGTGCGTGCTCTCCGTGTCCTCTTGAGGCCCCGTCCCCGAGAAGAGCACTTTGTGTGTCGGGGTCCCGCTGGGCCTGGTGCACCTGGTTAGACGTGCATCTCCTCTCGCTCTGCAGGGGGCCGGGTGAAGACCTGGAAACGGCGCTGGTTCATTCTGACCGACAACTGCCTCTACTACTTCGAGTACACGACGGTGAGCTCGCTGGCCAGCTGCCCAGGCAGGGGCTCGTGGGGCAGCAGCAGGGAGCAGACCCTAGAAATACTGTGGCCTGCTGTGCAGAGGGGGCTGCTCAGAGGCAGTAGCCAGGATGAGGGGGACAGGCGCTGGAGACATCGTGGGCAGCTTTGGAGCTTGGCCGGGAGCCGTGACCGTGGAACAGTGCCAGGATAGAGCCAGTGCCGGGTTAAGGGGAGAGGAGAGTCATTGGAATCTGGGGAGTTGAGACCGTAATAGCAGAGTGAGGAAACCTTTAATCTGATGGCCAAGCGAAGGTGGGTAAGCCAGATGGGACAGGTGAGTGACTTAGGGACATGGCAGCAGGAAGAAAGGGCACCTCCCCAGAGCAACCACGACAGAGGGGAACCAGAGTGATAGAACTGAAGAGCTGTGGCTTAGTACTGCCAAGTTACAGAGCCAGAGCGTGTGACCGAGCCAGCCAGAACGTACGCAGCCCTGAATGAAAAGGCCCAAGAGAGTCACAGCGCATCTGAGGGAAAACACAGGAGTGTGTTTATGGGGAGAGCTCCAGATTACCTCAGTCCCAGGGTTAATCGGTGCGTATGAGCTCAGGGGTGTGCTGTGATATGCTACCAAGTCATTTCCCTGCACAGGAGAGACAGGCTAGTCCTGCAGACCACCAGTGTCCACATCGGCCCAGGCCCAGTTGCAGGCACACTCCGCTGGGGAACAGGCCCCAGGCACACAGCTGGACATGGGAGCCCTCGCAGGGCCTCTCAGCACCCAAGAGCAGCGGTGCTGGGTTCACACACGCCTGCGGGAAACAACTATGAGATCAGGGGCACTCATCTGGCTACCTGATCGCTAGAGAAAGCGCCATGGCCGGCCGATCAGAGACGAGCGAGCACCTGAACAGTAGCCCCATGTGTTCTTGAGAAAGCAGCCAGGGGTGGGGTGCAGTCGGGTGAGGAATGGACCCAGAGGTAGACCTCAGAGAGTAAAGGATTCCCCCGGATTAATGAGACCAACGCTCCGCTCATAGTAGCTCTGGCCGTCAGAGGAGAGCTGCCCCTAACAGTTCCCAGGGCCGGAATCTTCATGGGGACAGGCCATTGATCTTCCCCCCCGCCCCGAGCTGGTGGGTTGGAGGGCTGACGTTTTGGTAAACAGGCCAGTGCACGCCCAGGGCTCTCACTGAAGTACAGAGACGTGCAGTGCAGGACGAAGGGGTTGTGCCCAGCCCCGGCTGTGCAGAATATGGACCTGGAGTGTGGAGTGGTGGCCTTCACCAAGGGGAGACCCAGAGGTCCTGGAGGAGGACCACCTAGGGTCAAGGGGGTGGGAGGGTGTCACACTCTGCTCTGGACAAATATTGTGGGGAGAGAAGTGTCTTTCCTTGAGCATTGCCCACTTGACTGGGGCGTGAGAGCAGCAGCTGACCCAGAGTGGTCAGCAGTGGCTCCATGGAACGCTCGAGGTGTGGGGCGGTGAGCGGGACACGGTGGAGGCTGGGCAGGGCCCTCCTGACCATAGTGTGTTAGGGCCGTGCTCTGCCTAGCCCCGAGGGAATCCCCGCCTGTCCCCTGGCAAAGGCCTGTTGATTGCGTGGCTCCCGCGTGCTCGGTGGGCGCGCCCAGGGCTTTCTTGCCCTGGTCTTGTTTTTGAGCATCTGGGCCCTGAAGCTGGTTTGTGACTCTTCTGAGTGACGGTGAGAAGGCCGGTCATGGTGTGCAGTCCCCACACTGCGGTGGCGTTGACTCCGCTCTGTTCTGTAGGACAAGGAGCCCCGGGGAATCATCCCTTTGGAGAACTTGAGCATCCGGGAGGTGGAGGACTCCAAAAAACCGGTGAGTGACTGTTGTCAGGGGAGAGGATGGGCTTGTGGGCTTAGGGTCTCTGACACAGAGCAGAACTGCAAAAGAAAGAACACGTGCACTACACTCCGGGACTCCAGGTGCGCTCTCTGTCCTGCCTGTCTGCCTTGTGCTTACCAGATGGCGCCACAGGTGTGAGTCGTGCCCTCCTCACTTAGTGACTGTCACCTGAGGCGTCAGTCGAGTTCCCCTGCCTCCCTATCTCATGAGATGTTGGTTGTGTCCACGTGAGGTGCTGGCCATGCCCCTCCTCAGATGGCAGCAGGCTCTGTGGTTGAATCTTACTTTGTCACGTGGTTAGAATCCTGTGCCCCGTGCACTCAGCCTGCGCCCTTCGCGCACGTACACTGGGTGGACGTTCACGTGTGTGGCGGACTCCGCTGTGAGCGAGGCCAGCCCGCCCTCCTTCAGTGCAGAACCCACTTCCAGGCTCCTCTGCCCGCAGCAACGAGAGCCCACTGTGGCGGACAGTGTGAGAGTCGAGTCTTTGGGACAGTGACCCCTCTGCCGGGTCAGCAGCAGCTTTCTGTCATTTCCTCCTGCTCTTGACCCTCAGAACTGCTTCGAGCTCTACATCCCTGACAACAAAGACCAGGTGATCAAGGCCTGCAAGACAGAGGCGGACGGGCGCGTGGTGGAGGGCAACCACACCGTGTACCGCATCTCGGCGCCGACGCCTGAGGAGAAGGAGGAGTGGATCAAGTGCATTAAGTACGTGGACTCGGGCGGCCCCCACGGCCAGCGCGACTGACTCCTCGCTCTGCGTTCTGTGTGGGCAGTGGCGGGGGAGGCCCGTGGTGGGGATTCAGGACGCAGATTCCCCGCCCTTACAGGGGTTCAGGGGCACCGCAGGTCCAGGTTTCCCAGGTGAGCCCGCTCCCAGGCACCAGGACGCCTTGTTCTCACCTTGGAAGTAAATCTCATTTCCAGTTGACAGTTCAGAGGAGATGAGGTCATGGGCGTGAAAGGGTCCTTATGTATATCCTGTGATCATATGTGTTGATGAGGCTACTAGGTGGGGCCTTCCTCTCCCCTGAAGTGTTGAGAGAGACAGACAGACAGGAAGGGAGAGACAGAACGTCCTCCTCTTCAGTGAAGCCCATCCCTAACCAGGGGCACCGGTGAGGGGCTCTTAACTTCTGGCTCGTGCATTCCCTGAGGGCTTCCAGAGGGGAGGCACCCGGGAGACAGCAAGCTGGGGAGCTCGGACATCGAGCAGTGTGATTGGGCAGTGGGAGCTCTGCCGACAGCCTGCCCCTGACTGACCTCAGAGTCAAGTCCAGCATTTGCTGGTGACCGGGCATTGGATGCTGGCTGGGCAGCAAACGTGGACGCACTCTGATCTGATACTGGTGCTCCTCTGCCCTTCGTCTGAAAGCCAGTGTGTGTCTCATGGGCCCTGAGAAGGGCCGTGTGTTTGCACAGGTGACACTGGACGTGTACTGGTGGTGTGTGCCTCGCTTGCTGGCTCTCACTTGGAGCTGCAGCTGGCATCTCCTGCACTGCTTGGTGTGGTACAGCACCCGGGCCTCCCCTGCCCTTCTGGGCTGTGTCTGCATTGACGTGGAAGGGCCCCTCGTCCTTGCCGTGGCCCCTGCTCCCCTCCTCTGCTCTGGAGCTCTGACTGTCCCTCACCTTGTAGGACTCTGACTGTCCCTCACCTTGTAGGACTCTGACTGTCCCTCACCTTGTAGGACTCTGTCCCTCACCTTGTAGGACTCTGACTGTCCCTCACCTTGTAGGATTCTGACTGTCCTTCACCTTGTAGGACTCTGTCCTTCACCTTGTAGGACTCTGTCCCTCACCTTGTAGGAGCTCTGACTGTCCCTCACCTTGTAGGAGCTCTGACTGTCCCTCACCTTGTAGCATTGGCGCCCCTGGTCACGGTCTCACTTGTCCTCTTAAATCCTCTTCTCCATGTTTCTTTATTCTTCGTGGAGTTTATGTTGATGGTTTAAAGTAAGATCTAGCCTCATTCCCTCAAGTAAGTAGGCAGTTGTTCAGGCATCTTTCTTCTTTTCTGTTTCGCTTGTTTGCACTGTTTTCCTGAACTTCCTGGCATTTTAGGTGTGGGAACTCCTGTTTGACTCTTGGCCTCACGCCCAGGCCTTGTGGGGGGTGATCTGTAGCTCGCTGCCCGCCCCTCGGCACACTTTCAGAACAGTGTTTGCTCTGCATGACAACTATCTTTCATGTGGTTTTTGAGTTCTATAGTCAGAAAAATGAGCAAGCTTTAAAATCTCACTCAGAACTCCGGACCTTCATCAAGCAGCTGGGACCCCTCCTGTGGGGCTGCCTGGACCCTCAGTGAGGGTGGGAGTTAGGAAGTGACCTGAAGAAAGTGCTGGAGCAAGAGTGTGGTCTGTCTCTGTCTGTAAACACTGCTGCTGAGAGGACTCGGGAGTGGGGGCAGGCTCCTCTCCCTGGGCTTGCAAGGCCTCCCAAGGGTCACGGTCCTCTGGGGTGCCTCTCAGAGCCCTCCAGGAAAGGCAGGCTTCCTGGGGGAGCCCTCCTTAAACTGTCCTGGTGATCAGATAGTTTAGGAATGAGGCCTCAGCATTTAGTAGCCCTGTAATGTCCTAGTCTCTCCCAGGCGCCTTGGCTCCCGCTGCCTTCTGTCCATCATCTGTCACTGTGCACTCACGTCTCGGCCTTCTCCCCCATCCGTGCTCCAGGGCAGCCATCAGCAGGGACCCGTTCTACGAGATGCTGGCGGCACGCAAGAAGAAGGTCTCCTCCACGAAGAGACACTGAGGGACCCGCCCGAGCACTGAGGTGGGCTGACGTGCAGCCGGACCCGCCCGTGGGCACGGGAAGCCTGCAGGAGCAGCTCCTTACCGGCCACCGCCCCGCCGAGAGACCCACTTCCACTTCTGCTCATCTTTAAGTGGGAGACAGTGTGTCTCTGACCCCAGGGAGAAGCACAGACTCTCCAGCACTTGTCCCTGCGGACAGGGCCCCACGCAGCCCCCTTCCACAGCTGCAGGTCTGAGGACAACCCTTCCCCACACTGCAGGTCTGACAGCAGAACTGGAGCCAACTTTACCTCGTTACTTCCTGTGAGAAGCCTTCAACCTACACCACACATCTCTGAGTTACTGTACGCTAGAAGGAGGTGGGATGGAAGAGAAGCCACTTGCTCTGAAGAGAAATTTTTATTTTCAAGAAGAAAGTCGATGGGGAGCTGCCCCGGTGCACTCTGCCCTGTCTGGGGCGGGCAGCTCCCCGGGGGAAGCAGTTGCCAAGGCCGGTGCTCTCTGTGGCCGTCCCAGCATGCAGCGTGGGCTCCCCACAATCGTGGGGGTGGCCTGGGGGACGTGAGTGGCTGCGCCGAGGACAGGCTGCCCCAGGAGGCTGTTCACTCCAAGTGCCTGCGGAGCGCTCGGCTTGAAGAGAACCTTCTGGATGCTGCTGCATTCTCTCGGAATGCCGGGTCATCTGGGCTCTTAAGATAGTCAGCATCTTTCCTTGAGCTAATACCTAATAACCGTAACTGTGACACGGTCCCGGCACAGGCTCCGGGACGGCCTGACTGTTCACGTCCACGTCCCTCTCGATCTGCACATCTGGTCCTCGTTTTAGAGGACAGCTGAGGGGCAGCTTTCCCTGCCTCCAGCCTGGCCTTCTCTGGGCCCCGTCGAGAGTCCGCGGGCCAGGGCAGTGGACCTGGCTGCCCTTGGGGCTGCGGGCGGTTTCCTAGGCAGAGTAGGGAGGGTGGTCTGCCTCCTGTCTCATTTCTTTCTTTAAAGAAACGTGTGTGAGTGCCCGACGTGGGCACAGATCCGGCGTTCTCTCGCCTTTCTCTCAGGGACTCTCAAGGGCGACTCCCGCCGCTCACCTGGGCTGCCAGCCAGTGGGTCACCTTGGCCACCACCTTCAGTGAGGGCTCCTCAGGAAGGCTGGGGGCGGGTGCTGGGTCTAACTGACCAGCTCCTCTGTGGCTGCAGGGCAGGCCCATGTCTCTGGAGGTCGCCTTGTGGGAAGTGGTGGGGACACTCTGGGGTGGGAGTCACACGGAGCTGGGTCCCACATGAGGGCTCCAGGCGTCCTGAGGCCCTAGAGAGGGTCCGGGCCAGAAACAGACCTTCTGGGCAGAGGGCCAGCATGACCCTGGAAACCCCCAGCAGCTGTGTACCACCCAGACAGGGCCTGGGTCAGTATTAGTCTATTTATCAGAGTGTAAATAATTCATGTATAGTTTTTCTCCTCTTAGATTATTTTGTATTTGTTTAAAACAAAAGTTTTGTCAAATATAAAGACAGGCTGAAAGCTGTTGACAGGGTTCTTAAAAAAATTATTATTATTATTTCAGTTGTTTTTTGTTTGGTTTTGCCTTGTAAACTAGCGCCAAGAAACTGCAGCAAATAAACTGGAAATCTGCCCACGCCGCCCCTGGTCTGCAGTGTGCCTTCCTCGGGGGGAGGGGGGCCTGGAGGCTTCTCAACATGAGCAGTGGAGAGCCAAGCCTGTTTTGTGTTGTTGTGTGTCTTCGAGTCCCCCGAGATTCACAGTGACCCTAGGTACAGTAGCTTGAGTCCTGCCCTATCCTGAGCCAATCTCTCTATCTCTGACACACCTGACCCCATTGCTCTAGGTAATGTGTCAACCCGTCTCATCCAGGGCCTTCCTCTTCTGCACTGTCCCTCCACGCTTCCAAGCATGATGTGCTTCTCCAAGGACTGGTCCCCCCCTGACCTTGTGCCCAAAGTATGTGAGACAGAGCTTCAAAGTCCTTGCCTCCAAGGAGCAGCTTGGTTTCACACAGCAAATTAGATTCCCATTAACAGCCACTACCTAGATTGCTTGGAGACCCCGTTACATCTTTCAAAATGCGTCGACATGCTTCATTTCCTTCTGAACTCTTAGTTTCCAGTAGTGTCCGCATATTCACTCTGATCCAGTGTGCTGTGGCACAGGAACCTAAAGCTACACCCCTCCCCATGTCTAACCACCAAGAAAAGACATGTCATCTGGCCGTTCTCTGACCCCATGGGAAGGACCCCTGGTCTGGACATCATACCAGCCCGTGCCTTTGAAAATCCGAAACGTGAAATGCGTGCTCACATACTGAGAAGGCAGAGATGGAACTGCAAGAGAGGCTGTTTTCGCTGCTGATCTTGAACCCCAGCTGAAGGGACCCCTCTGACTGTGAACTCTTTAACGGGTGAACAGGAGTCTGATGGACTCAGGGCCCTGGGCGGATGTTGTGAGGTCATGGCTCCATGCTTAGCCATGACTAGCCTGCTGTAAACCCAGAGTCTGGGCTTGTCAAGCCTGACAGTTTTTATTCTCTTCTGTTTAGAAGGCCAGGTTCAGAGTCACTGTCAGTTCTAGAAGAAGGCCCTTGTCACATTCAGCATCTGTGAACCAGCGTGTCTGTCCTTTCCTGGGGTCAGGAGCTTCCCAGCACAGGGTCCCACGTCCAAAGGCCATGCTCCTCACGTCACCTTGATCAGTACGAGGTCCCCACACTCTGCTCACTTCTCTCTACCTCTTGTGAAACCGAGGCGATACAGGCCTTTCATCAGACCAGGGCGGTGACCTCAGTAACATTACATCCCACCCTGATCCCTTAGAACTGACTGGTGGCTGACTACGTCACGGATCATATCTGCCTCAATCCTGCCTCTCTGACATCACAGGTTCATTACAACACCCATTCAGCCTTCCCCCATCGAGTCAGAAGCGGCCCGCAGCGGGCCCACCAGCGGGGTTTCAGAGGCTGTAAATCACACGGGAGGGGAGGGCCCGTCGCTGCCGGGGAGCAGCTGGTGGGTGGGAACTGCTACCACTCGGCTACCAGAGCTCCCTCACGTCACATGCGCTACGTCTCGCTCGGAATCGTGGCCCTGCCAATTTGACATTGACTTTGGGGAGTCCATTCAATCTGTGACACCTCTGGAATGCCCCCTTTTCACACACTGGGAAGTGGCACTCGGAGGAGCTCAGGAGTTCACACCGCTCACCTGCCAGGCAGTGGACTGGCCGGATCGGCTCCAGAGTCCTCGTCCACCTGCATGGTGACCAGTCTACGCCCCAGGCAGCGGCCCCCTCCTCTCTGGGCTCTCCTCCGGCACGAGTTTGGCTTCACCAGAGTTAAGCTCAGGGAATCCCTGAGTGACACAGCTGGTGACCCCCACAGTACTGTCCTTGCTGAATTCCAGCCATGGACCTCCTTCTGTCCTGACCACAGACCTGATAATGGGCATCATGAGGGGACATGCATGGGGGTGATGGCCACCAGACTGAGGACAGCAAGGCCACAAAGCAAGGCCGCCAGTGCCCTGACTGCCGACTCAGTCCACGGACAAGAACAAGGCCCTGTCCCTGTTCCCTGCCACCCAAGGCGTCTGAGCATGAACAGCCGCAGTGATGGACAGTCCTTTAATGAAGAAGTCACAGCAGTGGGCCCAGAGCCGGCGACACAGGTGATACCACCACGCGCTGCGGCAGGATGGTGGACAGTGACCTGCAGAGAGAGACACAGGTGAGCCAAGTGGGAGGGTCCACACTTGGCACATGTGGAGGGACACGTGGGCACACCCTGGGGACAGTTCCTAAGGGTGTTCAAGGAGCATTTTTAAGGACATGGCATGAGTGAGGATTGGGCCCACAGTCCATACACAATTTTCACTAGTTCTGGGAGAAATGCCCAGGATCCACTGTCGTCGAGTCAGTTCTGACCACAGAGAACCTACTGGACAAAGTAGAACTGCCCACTGCGTTGCCCAGTTGCAAATCTGTGTGTCAACACTGCAGGGGCTTTCTCTGGAGTCTGACGTGTTCAGCACTCTCTTGATTGGCAGGAATGTTTCAAGCACAGTACCACCAGAGGCTCTTAAACTGTCCAGAGCTTTCAGCAAATCCACAGAGGGCCCTTGATCCGGATGAAGACGGCTGCTCTGTTTTAGATGATTCAAGGTCACCTGGGCCAGACCCCAGTATTCCCCAGTCTGTTTCCAGGGCACGTATCCATGTTGGGAGAACATCATTTTGAAGTGCTACAAAATCGAGCTGGTGAGCTCAGAACACGCAGTCCAGGCTCTGCTCCCAGAAAAGAGCAGAGTGCTAAAAAGTCCTTGAACAGTCCTGTCTGTGAAGATTAGAGTAGGCAGGAGTCCCCACGGGGTGCACAGAGCAGGAGGAAGGGTTGACGAGAAACGGAACTTAGCTCTGTCATCAAGGGGCTCCCAAGAAGCACAAATGGCTAAGCACTTGACTGCTGGCTGAAAGGTTGGATGTTCAAAGCCACCCAGGGGCACCTCAGGAAGCCCGCTGGTGATCTGCTTCCAGGGTCACAACCTCAGAAACTGGGGAGAAGTTTCTTTCTACACACTTGGGGTCACCTCACGGGTAACAACATCTCTGGGTGGGTTTGAGTCTGACTCTGATTAGCTACTGGGTGTGTTTGCACCCCTCAGAGGCTGCATGAGGGCCTTGAGCCCCCAAACCCACCACCACCGAGTGGAGTCCAACCTGTAGTGACCTTCCAGGATGGAGCAGAAGTAGGGGGGCCTGGGAACTTCCCAGGATGCCCTCTCTAGATGCCTTGTGTTTCTCACAGGAGATATGAAACATCAGTGCAAGCATTGCACCACCGGGGTTGAGGCTTCTGGGGAGCCCAGGCTTCCCTGTTTAAAGCTGGCACCGGTACTGGGTCTGGGCTCTTCACTACGCACTGGGGTCGGGCTTCTCAGGTGGCCCATTCTTACATGAATTCATTTTCTTATCGATCTGTTGTCTAGAAAACATTT